ATTACGATTTAAGGAAATGCACAAATATACGCCCATGTTAGATGTGCTTAATCACACAATATGTACGGGTTTTTTCGGATTAAAATGTTCAAAAACCACGAGAACAATGTTATATTTAGTTGACTTGTGTACTTGCATTATCCCACATGTTTCCAACAATAATTAAATGTGCGATTTTAACCAGTGTAACGGACCATGTCATTACGTCACCTGTCAATGACATAATCTCTGCGTTACCCTCAACATCAAAGACGCTTTAATATATTATGTGTTTCAGTCGACAGGTGAGCAACTGCTTGGATACCTTTATAGACAGAAAACTAATCATTGTTATATAGCTCAACATAGTTAGTTATTCATATTTTTTTAATCTCTTGTTTTCTTGATTTACCATGAGTAACATGTTTGTACCCAAAAGTAAATCAGACAACACCATTTTGTCAAGTGACTTAATTAGCATAAGCAGAAAGACCTTTATTTGTTACAACAGTAATACAGCTTTTTTATGTTTTAAAATGTATTGCATGCCATTTAGCAACACAAGCCATCTTGTGTCTAATTCCAACCACCGAGCTAACATTATCGTAAATGAAATAAAATAATGTGAATTTAAGTGATCAAATGTAACCGCAAGTTCAAGTTCAGGAGAGAAGGATGTGAACGTTAAATGTAACTTTACTTGTATAATATGCATAAAAAGCTAAATAAAAGTCCCATCAGATTGCTTTCCATTGGCTGTGGGGGTGAAGATTGAGGTGTCATGATTTCACGCTCATTCATGGTGTAATCAAGCTACACCCTTGTTATTGTTTCGACTAAGCAACCTCTCCCTACTGTGCCTTTAAAGGAGCACTTAGAAAGCATTGAATGTTGCTTGGGCACCATTCTTGTGTGTCAGTTACAATGCAAATACCAGATGGAAGGCCAATAGATAAGGGACATTTGACACCACAGAGCCTGTATTTAAGCAGACTGGTAGTTCCACAATGGCTTGCAGCTTTCAGTTGTTAGACATATTTGAAAAAAAAAACTATGGAACTAATGAATGCAGACCAGAAGTACATATATAATAACAAATACTTAACCCAAAAAAGAAGAGAAAGAAGTCAATGAGTAATCACTGTGAGAAATGTGGTTTCTCGCACCTTCAGAGTTTCTGTGTCCCAAACTTTCATGGTTTTGTCAAATGAGCTGGACACAAACATACCGGTGTCATGTGGGTACCACTGCACTGTTTCAACGCTGAATTTATGCACATGCCGACTGGACCTTCATAGAAAACAGTGAAAGTCACACATAACCTGACAACACATTAAAATCAGAAAATATCATACTGCCATCTGGTGGTCAGTGGATCACTGTGAAGGGAAAGGGGGCCATACTGACCTGCCCACTGTGCAGACTGTTTTGCAAGAGTATTGAAGCTTCTTGCTGTTGTTTTCCAAGTCATAGATCACTATTACACCATCAGATCCACCCGATAACATGCTGGAATGCAAAATGGGCCAGTGAATTACTCTATTTACTATGTGGGGTCATCACAAGAAAATGTATTAAGAGCATATCAATGTAATATATGAATTCTATGAATGCAGTATTCTTGAACGAGGAGTACACTTACTATCTTCCATCAATAACCTCAATGTCCAGGGTGTTAATTCCATTGCCATGGACACGAGCCACATCTCTGTTGTGGTTCAACTCCAGACTAAGCACCCTAAAGATGCATAAAGGAAGAGTGAGGTAAGTTGTGCCACTTTTTAGATAAATTTGATTTGACATAACATTCATGATATGAATTTCAAAAAGTTTTAGCAGAAAAAATGCTGACAAAAAATGCTGTTTGCTAGAATTCTCCCCTCAACGTTAATGATTATACAGAATGTAACACAAGAACAAATTATGGTTAGTAAATTATAGCATTACACAACACCAAAACAACAATGTTGTAATGTAATGTAATGCAAAATTGTGATGTTTTATTTAAATTAGTTTATTTAGATATTTTAACTGTATTCATTAATTTATTGTTTGTTTTGTTTACACAAATGTACCCCTGTCTATATCCGTAGAGCCAATACAAAATCTCCAAGAAGCATCCCCGTAAATATTAATAATAATAAAAAAGTATATTACCTTCGCGTGGACTCTGCACGTCTCAGGCGAACTGGGTCGTCAACCCCCGACTGCCGGGCATATAGAAAACTCAGCATCTTTGTAGAGACATCGAGCTTTTGTTTATTTATGTATTGTATGGTATGTTGTCAGAGTGAATTAACGTTAACTATATCCGAAATCTCTTTACTGTATTTAACCCTAGCTTTAGAGTGGCGATTATTTAACGTGTAGAACCGCGTTTTAAAACTGAACAAATTCATTCTGTACAACACTAAATCTAATATGATCTATTTCGTCTTTTAGATGAGCATTTTGTTGGTTAGGGGGCAGCCATATTGTGACGTAGTTACAACGCACACTCTGATTGGCCTGAGCGGGCGCAAGGGCCAATCACATTACAGCATTAATGCTGCGTAGTGCGCGGTTGTAACCCGACGGCAGGGAACTGAATGCGTATGTATGTGTTGGATAGAATATAATATATTGATATTTCACATATCTTATAGTGATGAGCCGTATTAGCTCTCTGTTGCGAAGAACATTTGGAATGGTAAAAGAGCATATCGGCACAGATCATTTAGGAAATAAATATTACTTCATACCCGAGCAGAAGTCATGGACAGGTAGGTCATGCATAAGACTTTGACGAGTGTGTTTTTAAACCGAGTAGTTACAGCCGATCGCACATCTTTATACTTCTATTTGGTAGAACTTCAGGATAAAATTAAATGGAGAGATGATCATATAAACATGTTGGTAACACTTTACAGTAAGGTTCATTAGTTAACATTCGTTAAAGACCTTAGTTAACATGAACTAAGAATGAACAATACTCATAATTCATCTTAGTCAATGTTAATTTCAACATTTACTAATACTTTATTAAAATCAAAGGTTGTAATTGCACCGTGAACTAAAATGAACAAACAATGAACAGCTAAATTTATATAAACTAATAATAACAAAGATTAATAAATACTGTAACAAATGTATTGCTCATTGTTAGTTCATGTTAGTTAATACATTAAATAATGTTAACTAATGAACCTTATTGTAAACTGTCATGTTTATAAATTACGATTATTAAGAATAACAAATGTATGATCTAAATATTTCAAATTAACCACTTTAAATCAATTTAAATATAGTAAACTATTCTGTATGACAAAACCCAACCAACCTTGGGTTACCATTGGTTATCTCGTTCTCTTTTTATTTGGTGGTTTAAATTAAGCTAATACATTAATCTCATCCCGATTCTTCCTTGTCTTTTTCAGGACGGATCATACGGCCAAGGCGCCTAGTAGAAGCAGCAAATCCAAAAGAGTTTGAGTACCTGGAAGGAAGCATTCCTTCTGAATGGGATGGTAATACAGAGTTTTTATTGTTTTTATTTTTATTGGTAAACAAATATTATATATTTTTATGATAGTGTGAACCTAATATTCAAATTCACATTTATATTATATTCTGTATTAACTGTCTAAATTAAAATTAACTGTTTGTTTATATGCAGTAATGAAGATATTTTATATAATTAGAAGTTTTAGCATGTTATACTTCAAGATCTAAATGTTGTATTTCATGTTATCATCAAATGATCTATTAACTTAGCTCTTTATTAACATATCAGTGCTTTTTGTCTTTTCTGTTTCTTTCAGCATGGGTCAGAGGCAGGCGGAAGCAGCCACCTACTATAGAGGTATTATTTCTAATTACAGAAATAATATAAAACCACTCAGATATAAACTAAAATCTGATTATTATTATTTTTTTTACATTTTATTTTCATTATATCTTAGAATTATCATTTCTATAGCTAGAATGATGTAATAAAGTCATCACTTTAAGTGTTATGTTAACACATGTGTCTTGCCCTCTACAGGAGTTGCTAAAGAATCAACAATATAGGGAGCAGATCAAAATCAAAGCTGTAGAGGCAGATGAGAGGGATAAAGCCCTGCAGACTAAAGAGTATGAGGAAGGTCTGGTGAACCAGCCTGTTCAGACTCAGGTCAAAGGTCATGCTTCTGCCACACAGTTTGGGCAGTCTGAAATCAGTGAGGACCCCATAAGCACTGCCAACTCATTTCAGCCAGGGTCCTGGACACCTCCAGGAACCAAAAACTAGTTACTTACTTGCCATCTTCAAGTACATTTTCAGTTTAAATGAATTAGTAGTTGTGCTTATTTTCATTCTAGACAAATATTCAGTACTGGTTTTCTGAAGCCAATTGAGAAACATTGCAAGATTTAGCATAATTGAAATGGATTTCAAATTGATATGGATTTTACTCAGAATTGTTTCAAAATCAAATTACCAAATGTAGAACATTCTGTGCATTGTTTAATTGAAATGACATTTCAGAAGTACTTTGAACTGTCTCAGCATTTGGAAAACTTCATATCATTACAGACACTATTGTAAAAAAAAAAATATTACAGTGTTGTAGATTTCCTTTTGCACTTTATTTATAAAGAAGGAAAATAAAAGTTGGAGCTGCAGTTGATCTCAAATTATTATGTCCTATCAAAACATTGTTTAAACACCTAAGATTTGGCGTGGCTACTGCAAGGCTTCTGGTTTCAACTGCTTTCAGTTATTTGACTTGTTTTAGCTTTAGACTTTAAAAACCAGTCCATTGTACTGCTTGATGTTGCAAACTGGTATTTGTTATCATATTTCTTGCATTCGATAACATAATTTATTATCGGAATCATAAACCCACTGGTTTGAAGCTAAAATAGTATTAAAGTTTTCTGCACTTTGTTATTCTTCTAGTTATTTACCTATAGTGGCTGAGTCAAAGACACATTAGGAAATAGGTGTAAAAAAAAAAAAAGTGTATAAGATGGAAGAATACTGTAGTTTTTAGTCAAACTTCATGTCAAGAATTTTCTTTATTATTAAAAAAAATCAATTGAATTATTTTGTGGATTCAAATTCAACCCAGTAAAAAAATGGAATGCAGAGTACTGCACAATAATGCAGTGCATTTTCCACTGTAATGATAATATCCTGGAAAAGTACTGCAGTCCTGTTATTGAGATCAATCAATCAACCCTCCAATTATATGTTCCCAGCTTCCCACTTGGGCTTCCTTCAAGGCCAGTCTTGCTCCAGGTCCCATAAGAACTGTCCGGGGTTAAGAGAAGAGCAATATATCAGGGGGATGGACTATTATATTGACCCCTCTCTGTTCCAAGCTCAATCCTTCTTGGCTCTCTTGGCTTTGGCAATGTTCTCTTGTCGTTTTTGTTTCTTCTTCTGCTCACGTTCCTTGGCCTCTATCATCTTGGCGAGTTTCCATGATAACAGGGCACTGGCGATAAACAGAGGGGTCAACGCCAGGATAACCGTGGTGAGAAAGCCATAAGGATCTTTGGCTGCCCACTCCACCACATATTCTGCCCATGCTTTGATATCAATCATCGTCCTCGGACTGTCTTCAGCAGCAGATCCTAGGAAGAGAGAAAAAGTTGTGAAATTACATAACTATAAGATGCAAGATGTGTAAACAGTTTTAAACCATATTCTAAAGTTTACATTGTAGTTCAGACTGAGTGCCAATATTCCTGCAATTGTCTTTTAATGCATATATTGACTCATCATATTGTTAGCTATCTAGTTTACCAAGCAACATTTAGAGTATGCTTGTTCATTCTGTGCAATAAATATGATTGTATCACTTGATACAATGGTTAAACCAGTTGGAGTTACAGTTCTCTAACGAAGTTTGATAAGCAGCACTGACAGCTATAAGCTAGCAACACAAAGCTTATAGCGACTTTTCAGCAACACCAATAATGAATGAAGATCATACTATAGTAGCTTTGTGTAAATATCAGTATATAGAGCAATGTGATAATTTTAAACAAAGACGATCACTCACCAGATAACCCGTTCTATATTTACCGAGCAGTTATTAGTTGGTAACTGTTGCCGGACGCCGGAAACACCAGTAAAAGCGGAAGTGAAACTCTTAACTTTTGCATTGCAGTGTGGGAATTGTAGTCGTTCACCTCACGTCCTCTGAGAACGCACTGAAAACCGTAAACCCAAAAGTAATAACAACAAAACTTTGAAATCTTTCCAAATATATGTAAATGGTCATTTTAATTTTATTTTACCATTGACATTTTATCGCTGTTAACTCTATATTTGTATTTGTTTTTCATACATGTTGTGTTGTATATATTTCCAAAGAGCATGCAATGTTATTAAAAAATATGATAATAATAAATAATTGAAGCTGTAACATTTTCTTCTTTTATGTTCGTGTATTTTGTTTTATTATTCTTTCACACCTTTTTATTTTTTTTAAATTTTCTTATTTCATTGATATTATAATTCGACCATTTATAGGTATATTAAAATATAACTTTATCGTTTCTTTTGAGTAAAATGTTAATCATTATGCAAACCCATAGACATATGTCTATGATGCAAACCCATATTTTGACAGCCAAATCTGTCATCAAAAAACAACCAATGGCTGTCGCTATATCGATCATATGACCAAACACGCCAACCAATCATGATCGTCGAGACGTTCGCGTCGTAATTTCAAACGTGTGCGAGCCGAGGATCGAAACAACCTCGGATTATTTATAGCCAGCGACAAGTCAGTGAGCGACTTTGCCTGTCGATATATTCATCTTATTAAATATAGTCTACGAGCGCCTCCAATAAATCAAAAATAAACTCCCCCGTATATGTAACGTTAGGAATAATGAAAACGGCTGTATAGGCTGAAGGCATCGTGTTGTTTTCAATGAGTTCTCACATCGTCACCCCAGGTCCATACAGGGCTACTAAACTGGTGAGTCTCAAGTCTTCTGCCTTATTTGGTCAAATGTTGTGGTGTGGTGATGATGTTATCAGAACCAGCTTTTATTGCAAAGTACAACTTGTACATAGAGTTTGTCCTGGTGCACAAGTCCATACAAATAATCACTTAAAACAAGGACATCTATTGGAACTTTTGGTACACTTGTTAGCTCTAAAAGTGCTTTGTTTATTATTGGGTGTTTCTTTATCTTAAAAAAACGAGCAGATTTGTTTGATATATGAAGTTCGCTTTAAAACTATTTAACAATATCCCTTGGTTTATTTTTGCTATTTATCTATTTTTAATAACAATTGTTTATGCATTGTGAACCATAAGAGTGACAGTTATGAACTTAGAGAAGAATCTTCTTCTGTAAAGCCCAGTTGTTGTTGTTTTTTTTTTTGTCTTGGACTGTCTGTTAGACATTTGGTTTTGATAAACTGATTACCAGCTCTTCATATGACATTATTATCTGTTTATTTCACAGTGGAATGAAGTGACCAAGCTTTTCCGGGCAGGGATGCCTTTGAAGAAGCACCGGCAGCACTTGAGGGTTTACTCGAGCTGCTTCACCGCATCAGCAGCTGTGGACTGGTTGCATGAACTCTTGAAGAACAACAGCAATTTTGGACCTGAGGTCACTCGACAGCAGACAATCCAGCTGCTGAAAAAGTTTTTGAAGAACCATGTTATTGAGGATGTGAAGGGTAGATGGGGCATGGAAGACCTGGAGGACAACAGCCAGCTTTACAGGTATGATGAAGTGGATCTTTCAAAAAGGGTTTGACTTTTAAATAATTTTAATGGAAAATATAGAGAGAAACATAATGTTTTGTGGTTTGAAATGTGTTTCAGGTTTCCATCTACATCTCCACTGAAGCCTATTCCTAACCGTGCCCCTGTTTTAAGGAAAAAGAGCATGTCTATGATGGACAGGGAGAGTTTCTTCAAATTCAGAGGGTCTAAGAAATTTGACAAAGAAATATTGGTAAGTATTGTTGCTCCAAATGCGTTGTCAATGAGAAATTTAATTTCAGATGTGTAATATCTGCTATTTCACACAGGAAAATGTGGATCCAGAAAGTCAAGAATCTCAAATGGAGTCATCTTCAGGTGATACTGAACGCTGCAGGGAGCTCACAGAGGAGGACATTCAAGTGATCTGGAAGAATGTGACTCTAACACAGTAAGCCGACCTCTCCCCACACCATCTGTCTCATACAGTTTGTATGTGTTGAAGTTCGCAGCTTTACACTGGAAGTACTTCCTGTTTGCAGCGGCTTACAAAGAAATAAGGTCTCTAATGGTAATACTTTGATATTGCCTGGTTTTAAATGATTGCAATGGCATTTACATGGCACATAGATACAGTATATTTTAAATAATACGGTACATGTCCAGAAATTACATATACACTGCTGTTCTAAAATTAATATTTATCTAAATTCAAAAAGGATTAACAATAGTGTAAAATTGTGAAGGATTAAGCTATATTGTCTTTTTGCAGTATTTTTTCCTTTAGACAATTCTGTTGCATATGTTTGTTTTATTTGAGGGTGTATGGCACAGATGACCCCAAAACATTTTCAATATGATGTTCTACATGAATTTGATCATCTTTTGAATGCTCAGTTTGCAGAAGTTGGTGGGATCAGGGTCTCTTGAAGATGTTTTGGATCCAGCCCAAGTCAATCCTCAGTTCATTATCGATAACATGACCAAAGTCAATAAACATGGAGTCGTTTCATTGGAAGATAAGACAGGTAGGCTTGATGCGTGTCATTTCAGTCTAAATAATGGTGGCAAACATAATATTTCCACATTCTGATTGTCTCTTATTTTGTGTCCTTCTGTAGAAGATTTACCGCACTGGGTTTTGTCTGCCATGAAGTGTCTTGCAAATTGTAAGTTCTGTTACATGTGAAATGAAATGAGACAATTGAAATAAGTATTTAAAAATATTAGAGCACATTCATATCGTCTTTTGTCATTGAATTTTTAAGAACAAATGTATATACTTGATAGGTAATTTAATGGTTTAATTTATTTAATTCTTTATTTTCCATCCAATCCATCAAGGGCCAAAGTATGACTCAAACCAGTCATCTTACCCAGGATTTGAGCGGGATGTGTTTAAAACAGTTTCTGGCTACTTCTCCGGTCTTTCTCAGCCATTGCTTACTTTTCAGTACTATGAACTCTTTGTCAACATCCTAGGTATGTATGAAGAAGAACACATTTGGTTGTTTTCGCCACAAGCAAATATATGGTTTACACAATATTAGTCATTACAACAGAAAATATGTTTTCTTTGAATATTAAATTACATGTACGCTACTTTTAAAAAAATTAGGGTCAGTTAGACCCTAATTATTAATTATTTTATCCATGCATTAAATTGATCAAAAGCGAGTGTAGAATTTCAAATAAATGCTGCTTTTTTTATATAATTAAAAAAAAATCTTTTTTATTCCTCAAAGAATTATGAATAAAATGCATCATGGTTTCCATAAAACTATTAACTGTTTTTCACATTGATAATATAATAAATGTTTCTTGAGAATCAAATCGGCATATTAGAAAGATGTGACCGAAGACTGGAGTAATGATGCAGAAAATTCAGCTTTGCAAAGCAGTTATTTTAAATGGTAATAATATTTCACAATTCTGTATTTTTGATCAAATAAATGCAGGTGAGCTTAAGAGACTTCTTTCAAACATGAAAAATAAATCTTACTAACCCTAAATTTTTAAACGGTAGTGTAACTTTTTTGCAGTTTACTTAAGTATGGGTCAATATTTCATTTCAGAATCGGGCCTGGGTTGTTTTAATACTCACATATCATCCTTTCTGGGAAATGCCTCCTAAAGGATTACTTAAACCTTTTGTCTGTGGGTCTTATTTTATAAAATATTGATGAAATAAATTGTTCAGTCACACAAAGCCATTTCTACTGACTACACTGCTTTTGTGGTGTCAAACGATGTTAAAAACTAACCCTGTCTGCTCTGTTTTAAACGTCTCACCTCGTTCTTAAAAGTCTTTGCCTGCCTGTTTGTTTATGTTCTGTTGTCTGGTCCTTTGCTAGTTATGTGTGGCTACATCACGACACCTAAAACTCAAAGTGGAAAGCGTAAAAGCCAGGAGGAACCCAACTGTCCACATCCAGCCAAAACTGCTGTGAATGCAGCCAACCTGTTTAAATCGACTGAATGCCTCCTGCTGAGCTTAATAAGAAAGGAGGCCTTTGATGAAGCAGATTCGCCCATGAGGGAAGTTTTCAGTTCAAAAGCTGAGGCTAAGTTAGAAACCCATAGAGCGCAGCAGCCTGTTTTTAGGGGTAGAAGGGCCAGCGATGGAAACGGGCTGGACGGTAGCTATCTAGAAATTCCTCAGGCTCAGAAAACAGAAGTCCCATATGGCAGGCTTCGGTCCAGAAGTTGCTCTCTGGAGGGAATCATTGATAAATGTTCAAAGAACAGACTTTTCAGATCATCTGAAAGCCTACAGTCCTGCAGCACTGACAAATCATCCTCTCAAGCTGATTCTCCAGTAGACCCAAACCTCAAATTTGAGCTTCAAGATGCTTCAGTGTCCAAAAACCCTTGTGTTCAAACTTTCAGCAACGACACAAGCTTCCAACTCCCTTCACAATCACATCTTCGTCAAACCAACCAGAGACCCGCCAGGGCCCGGCCCAGAAGCATCGGTAACTTGCTTGACATAGAGGAGAATAGAGAAATGTCTGCTAGCAGCTTTAGCATCCACGCTCCAGTGGCTGAAATTACCATGAGACCAGATTTCACATCCAGCATTGGCCTTAGAGGTCCTAGTTTGCATGGAAGTTGCATGGATGTTAGCGCAGGTCCGAGCATTAGCAGGCGCTGTCAGAGCTCTTTGGACCTGAGCAAACCTGCACCCACTCGGCCCCCTTCGGCCTTGTTAAAACTCCACCCTGAGCAAAGTAAGAGCATGTGCAAAGCACTCATGAGCTTCTCTGTTTGTGATTGAGCATGTGTTTGTTGTGCCTGCCAGCCTAACTAATTCTTAAAGGGACAGTTCACCCAAAAATTTTAATTCCGTTGTGATTACTCATGCTCATGTCATTCCATACAAGTATGGCTCTTTTTTTTTTTTTTTTGGCAAAGGAGATACTTGTTAAGAGAACGAAGCTACTCTTTTTTTTTATTTTCTTGCCAAGTATCTCCTTGTTTTTATTTTGGGGTGAACTATCACTTTAATGCTAACTAATTCTATAGCACACTTTGGCTACTAATACATACTTTTTTTAACTAATTTTTGGATAAGAGGTCACTGTAGATGGGTGTAATGTATATTTTATATATAAACTCAAAACATGGGTAACAGAGCAAAAGCTCCCAGTCTCCTACAGATCCTACCTCTATGTAAGTAGGTTATTTAATTGATAACATTTAATTTCAATTTGTGTTTAGTACTACTTACTGCTTTAAAATAAGAAAATGTAAACATTTTAAGAGATTCCCATTGAATGGAATCAGTGGGATGTTTTAGTTAACTTGTTTAATTGAAATTTAAAAATATATTATGTTTAAAATAACGCATTCATATATATATATATATATATATATGAAGAGTTCAGATGCAAAAGCCTCTAAATGCCATTTGAAATTTTCTTCTAAAATGATCATTTTTATCAAGCTTGTATATTTAAGTTCAGTAATTTCACTTAAATGACAATTAATAGGTAATCTTCATTGCCATTTAAGTGAAATTACTGAACTTAAATATACAAGCTTGATAAAAATGATCATTTTAGAAGAAAATTTCAAATGGCACTTAGAGGCTTTTGCATCTGAACTCTTCATATATATATATATATATATATATATATATATATATACACACGTGTGGATATAGATGTAGAGATAGATAGATATAGATAGATATAGATAATGTGTGTGTGTATGATACTAGTCACTAGTCACTGTATTAGAATTCCTTAGATATTCCAAGTAAATGCAATTTATGTGTTTGATTTGATTACTTGTTTAAGCTGATGTGCATGATGTTCATTTGTTTGTATTAGGTTATAGGCTGGTAAGTTCTGTGCTGTGGTTTATTTCGGTTACATGTGGGTCACATCACGTTCCAGGTTTATTGCAGCCTTCATTGGAGCGAGTGGCCATCGAGGCCCTGCAGCTCTGCACGTTACTCCTGCCGCCTGCCAGTCGCCGCAAACTACAGCTACTCTTGCGAATGATCTCGCGCATGAGCCAGAATGTGGACATGCCGCGGCTGCATGACATCATTGGAACGCGGACTCTGGTCAGGAAGAGTCCAAAAACATTCACATTAAAGCAAATACATGGTTTTATTGTTATTTTGTGCTCATTGCTATGTCGTTTATGTGTGTGCAGTTGGTGCAAACGTTCTCTAGGTGTGTCTTAAGTTGTGAGGAGGTGGGTGACCTGGACGAGCTCTTGGCTACAAGGCTGTTATCGTTTCTCATGGATCACCATCAGGAAGTCCTGCAGGTGCCTGTGTACCTGCGCAATGCTGTGGAAGATCATATCAACTATCTCAAATCACTGGTGAGTCCTGACAAAAATGAAACATCACTGAACTTACTTAAAGGGATACTCCACTTTTTTTGGAAATAGGCTCATTTTACCACTCCCCCAGAGTTAAACAGTTGGGTTTTACCGTTTGTAAATGTATTCAACCGATTTTCTGATATTTAGAAGAATATCAGTAAACAGACAGTTTCTGGTCTCATTGACTTCCATAGTAGGAAAAAAATATACTATGGAAGTCAATGAGACCAGAAACTGTCTGTTTACTGATATTCTTCTAAATATCAGAAAATCGGTTGAATACATTTACAAACGGTAAAACCCAACTGTTTAACTCTGGGGGAGTGGTAAAATGAGCCTATTTCCAAAAAAAGTGGAGTATCCCTTTAAGTAAGTTCAGTGATGTTTCATTTTTGTCAGGACTCACCAGTGATTTGAGATAGTTGATATGATCTTCCACAGCATTGCGCAGGTACACAGGCACCTGCAGGACTTCCTGATGGTGATCCATGAGAAACGATAACAGCCTTGTAGCCAAGAGCTCGTCCAGGTCACCCACCTCCTCACAACTTAAGACACACCTAGAGAACGTTTGCACCAACTGCACACACATAAACGACATAGCAATGAGCACAAAATAACAATAAAACCATGTATTTGCTTTAATGTGAATGTTTTTGGACTCTTCCTGACCAGAGTCCGCGTTCCAATGATGTCATGCAGCCGCGGCATGTCCACATTCTGGCTCATGCGCGAGATCATTCGCAAGAGTAGCTGTAGTTTGCGGCGACTGGCAGGCGGCAGGAGTAACGTGCAGAGCTGCAGGGCCTCGATGGCCACTCGCTCCAATGAAGGCTGCAATAAACCTGGAACGTGATGTGACCCACATGTAACCGAAATAAACCACAGCACAGAACTTACCAGCCTATAACCTAATACAAACAAATGAACATCATGCACATCAGCTTAAACAAGTAATCAAATCAAACACATAAATTGCATTTACTTGGAATATCTAAGGAATTCTAATACAGTGACTAGTGACTAGTATCATACACACACACATTATCTATATCTATCTATATCTATCTATCTCTACATCTATATCCACACGTGTGTATATATATATATATATATATATATATATATATATATGAAGAGTTCAGATGCAAAAGCCTCTAAGTGCCATTTGAAATTTTCTTCTAAAATGATCATTTTTATCAAGCTTGTATATTTAAGTTCAGTAATTTCACTTAAATGACAATTAATAGGTAATCTTCATTGCCATTTAAGTGAAATTACTGAACTTAAATATACAAGCTTGATAAAAATGATCATTTTAGAAGAAAATTTCAAATGGCACTTAGAGGCTTTTGCATCTGAACTCTTCATATATATATATATATATATATATATATATATATATACACACGTGTGGATATAGATGTAGAGATAGATAGATATAGATAGATATAGATAATGTGTGTGTGTATGATACTAGTCACTAGTCACTGTATTAGAATTCCTTAGATATTCCAAGTAAATGCAATTTATGTGTTTGATTTGATTACTTGTTTAAGCTGATGTGCATGATGTTCATTTGTTTGTATTAGGTTATAGGCTGGTAAGTTCTGTGCTGTGGTTTATTTCGGTTACATGTGGGTCACATCACGTTCCAGGTTTATTGCAGCCTTCATTGGAGCGAGTGGCCATCGAGGCCCTGCAGCTCTGCACGTTACTCCTGCCGCCTGCCAGTCGCCGCAAACTACAGCTACTCTTGCGAATGATCTCGCGCATGAGCCAGAATGTGGACATGCCGCGGCTGCATGACATCATTGGAACGCGGACTCTGGTCAGGAAGAGTCCAAAAACATTCACATTAAAGCAAATACATGGTTTTATTGTTATTTTGTGCTCATTGCTATGTCGTTTATGTGTGTGCAGTTGGTGCAAACGTTCTCTAGGTGTGTCTTAAGTTGTGAGGAGGTGGGTGACCTGGACGAGCTCTTGGCTACAAGGCTGTTATCGTTTCTCATGGATCACCATCAGGAAGTCCTGCAGGTGCCTGTGTACCTGCGCAATGCTGTGGAAGATCATATCAACTATCTCAAATCACTGGTGAGTCCTGACAAAAATGAAACATCACTGAACTTACTTAAAGGGATACTCCACTTTTTTTGGAAATAGGCTCATTTTACCACTCCCCCAGAGTTAAACAGTTGGGTTTTACCGTTTGTAAATGTATTCAACCGATTTTCTGATATTTAGAAGAATATCAGTAAACAGACAGTTTCTGGTCTCATTGACTTCCATAGTAGGAAAAAAATATACTATGGAAGTCAATGAGACCAGAAACTGTCTGTTTACTGATATTCTTCTAAATATCAGAAAATCGGTTGAATACATTTACAAACGGTAAAACCCAACTGTTTAACTCTGGGGGAGTGGTAAAATGAGCCTATTTCCAAAAAAAGTGGAGTATCCCTTTAAGCTGAACTATGATGCTGTTTTCTTCTGGAAGCATACTTTTTTGCATTATTTTCCTGTTATCTCTGTAAAGCTGCTTTGAAAAACAATCTGTATTGTAAAAAGCGCTATAAATAAATGTGACTTGACAAACCACATGGAAATTACTCAGTGTATTGTAATGGACTTATTAGACGCATTTAGGGCCATTGTTTTGGAGGAATTATACACGGAATGTTAAATTGTATTTAAACCAGATTATTCCTGGTAAGAGATGCCTCTGTTTATTATTTATTAATTTTGTTAATTTGTGGTTCTTCCCCTCACATTCATTTGCATGCGCTCCTGATCTCAGACCACATGCGTAGGCCCTGGTGTTGCCATGCCGACATACTCATTCTGCAGGCAGATCAGCACTCAGGAGTTTGAAGAGCAGAAACTGTCCGTGTCCCAAGCTGCTCTTGCTGACCTCCTGGAAAATCTTATAAAGGACAAGACCATGTCTGTAAAAGAGAAGAAAAAGAAGCTAAAACTGGTATTTATTTACTGAACTTCTCTTATGTCATAAAAATCCTGTTTACACAAAAGGGGTTCAAACCAGGAGTAAAACTCTTGAAAGGTTTAATTTGAAGTAAATATTAAACACAAATTTAGTGCATCAAGCAATTTCTGAGAAACACGGTTGATATTTGAAATCAACTGAAACAAACACACCCCTTTCTTCATTGCTCTGCCCCCAAAATGCACAAACAAGATAATGCTAGACAGACTGTGTCTGAAATCACATGCTCTCTTGAGTAGGTACTTGTTTTGAATAAGTAATTACCTTACGAATGCTTAAAAAAAGTATGTTTTATATTGAATGAGTGTGTGTAGTATGACTGTAATCTGGATGTACTACATTTGCCATGTTGTCATTATCATGTGACCTACCCGCGTCAGTTCATTAATCCTCTCCCGTGGCCTCATGGGATAGTAAAGTGTGCATCGTATATGCATTTCAGAATCTCAACGAAAGAAGTAGGTCATCCAGGTACTTTTATCCGAATCTTTTATGAGTATTGTGAATTCAGACATACTTTTGTCACATACTGTTTTTGCCTAATATATCTATCAGCGCTACCTATTTGGAACCCCTAAAAGGTTCTATACACTCTTAAAAAAAGGGTTCCTCTGGGTTCTATGTAGAACCCTGGGGTTCCATGCTTGGCCAATAGAACCTTTTACCAAAAAAAAATTGTTTCTATATAGAACCATTTTGGAGTTCCATATATGAAGCGGGAGATGGAACCATTTCGGGTTCTAAATAGAACCATTTCTTCTAAGAGTGAAGTATGTGTTTCAGACGCAGCCAACACTCAAAATTGTTCTGTTGCTATAGATTACAACATTTGGGGTTCTGCGGCACAACCTCATATCCCTTCATTTTCTGGTGATATTCCTCTGACATTTTCTCTTTTGTGTCTCTCAGCCATCTCTCTTTTTGGTCTTTCTTCAAATCATCCTCTTGTTCACTCTCTCTCCTCCCCCATCACGAGGTGACACGCCCCCTACTGCTGATTGGCTACATGTGTTTTGTGGCGCTCGGTTTCTCAGAAATTGCTTTCTGCACCTTTGTATGTTAATCATGGTCATTGTCTGTTAATTTTATTATGGCCTAAAAGCAAATAAACGTTTTGTTGTTATTCTCAGTTTCAGAAGGAATATCCTGACATCTACTTGAGACGTTTTCCCACAACAGAGAGTGAAGCTCAGCTTTTTGCAGATAAACCAAAGATAAAACCTCCAATGCTGTTAAGCCTCAAGAAACCAAAAACCTTAAGTATTCGAAACTGAGTACCTCATGAATGAATGATATTTTGGGAGACTGAGTTTAAAGACCTTTACCTGATCTTTTAACATTGGATCGCATCAGTATAACCTGAACTGTAACTTCAATTGAAGTGTTGTTTTTATGTTTCTTGTGGTATTTCTCTCCCGTGAAGTGACTTTTAATGGTCTTTTCCCCCAGTTTTAATACAGATGTGAGTTTTAATGTTATTTATTTAAGGTGTGTGATTTGTTGTAAGTTATTGGGAGCTTTCAGTCATTCGTATTGTAGTAGTAAGTACAAAACTCAGAGGACCCACAGCAAATAAACATACTGTTTACACAGAGTCTCCTTTAAACAAAATGAAGATTTTTAACATTGTTTATGTTTCAGTTTTGTCTCTTGTTTTTCTATTATCACCTTTTGTGTGTCTGCAGGTGTTTTCAATATTCAGGTTGCACAGAATATGTTTACTCAGACTTCTAAAGACTAACAACTATTTTCTGTGTGATGTGGGAGTTCCTGGCTATTGAGCTAGTGTGGGCTAATTTGCACTGTTTTTCATCTCAAAATTGGCTAGCATGTTATTTCTTTGATTTTCCCTTTAGTCTATAATGTACTCATTTGTTAATTTTGTCTTTTATCGGTGTGAATGGATCATCTTACACTCATGTCACTGTACTCAGTTTCAGTTGCTTGTGTATTAAGAATGAAAGCCTAAATTTGGATAGAGATTGATTTATCTGTGTCACAGTTTGTATTGAGTTAATGGGCATAAGTGAAACAAATCCATTGCGTTTTATGTTATTGCTTTATTCTATCACCCTAAATACTTTTGTAATACTGTTCCTGATCTATGCAATAAAGGTTTAAACTAAGCATTATTTTCTTTGTGTGATACTTGATGTTTTATTATTGAATAATTGCTGTAGTGCTGCATTGTGGACCTTCATCTGTATTCACATCCAGTCTCCTTTTATGAATGGCATCATGGTGCCCTGACCCCCAGAAACCATCCAAGGAAGTAAACAAAGATAATGTGATGAATGAAATGCCACATTCTTATGTCTTTTGTTATACTACAGACAATTGGCAACTTGTTGTATAGTAGACTTGTTTATTTAGGCTACACTTTATCTTAAAGTGATGGAGTTACATGTACTTAGATAAGTTATAATATTAATTAAAGCTGCAAGCAGCCTTTGCGGGGCCAAGCCCTGAAAGGGACCACAAGCAGAACAAGTACAACAAGCACATGTTCTATCTCAGACAGACACCATGTGTAGAACTGAAACGACTTTTCCACCACTTAAGGCCACAGTACCTCTTGCGGTCTGGGCATGTGCCACACGGGATTCGAACCCACGACCGCAATGGTTCGGGATTCGTGACACGTGGTTTAGCAGCTTGCGCCACTCATAGGATATAAATTACAAAACTGCAGAGGAGAGGCTTCAGTATAAGAATAAACGCACAAAATTATGTTAACGTGATTAGCATGCTAAGCTAGCTCAATGCTAATATAGCTTATGGTCATCCTGTTAGCTGAAGAGCCCCATTAAAAAGAATGGCACCTGGTTAGCATGCTGAACAATTATTATGCTAAGCTAACTAGCATAAGGCAACAAACACAGGCTAGGTCAATTTTGGAGACGAATATCTCAAAAACGGTAACGAATATCAAAAATCTGTTCAGTCATTTCTGTGCGGCTCGGTCCAAAGATCATCTGACCAAATTTTGGAAAAATTTGAGCAAGATCTGAAGGAGGAGTAGCGAAAAAATGGTTTTTCATTTGCTCCAATATGGCGGACAGTCACTTTGTTGGAAAATGAAAAATGAGACATCATTAGAATCGGTATAAGCCAAGGAACATATTGATATAAAGAAATAAAATTTTGAACTATATTTGCAAAAGTTATAAGCGTTTTTACAAAAAACCTTATAACTTTGTAACACTAGGTGGCGCTGTCATCAAACTGCTCATGTACCTTTGGCCCATGCTAATGATGATCCATACCAAATTTGGTGAAGAAATTTTAAAAAGTTTTAAAGATATTGCAAATTATGACAAAATTCAAAATGGCGGACACGAGGTACATCCCATCATGGCAAAATTGATATCCACGGATTCGGCATGATCCAAGGAATCCATAGATACCACATTTATGATTTTCTGAAAAACTGTTCAAAAGTTATTGGCCAAAATAGCAATTTTGCATATCTCATGACCCCTAGGTGGCGCTATTCCCAACTTTGGTATGACACCTCAGAACATGCTTCTGATAAAGTGTATCGATTTCTGTTTCGATTGATCAAACTTTGGCCGAGATACAGCCTCTTAGCCAATTTTGGGTGGACCTCATTAAGTTTGCGACACCATAACTTTTGAAGAAAGACAAATAAAAAAAATCTGTTGAGTCATTTCTGTGCGGCTAAGTCTAAATATCATTTGACCAAATATTGGACAAAACTGAACAAATTTTGAAGGAGGAGTAGCAAAAAAACTGAATACTGCACTTTTCAAAATGGCGTCTACTGTAATGGGCGGAGTCTTCATGTATGACATTGGTTGTGATCAGCATGATGAGTGGAATCAGGTGTACTATGTTTCATGTCTCTAGACCAAAGGGTTCAAAAGTTACAACAATTTTAATGTTGAAATTTTGAACTGGTGGTGGCGCTATAGAGTTGGGGCTAGAGACTCAAAATTTGGCGCAATTACTTTTCATGATGATCTCTATAAGTTTGCCAAATTTCATCATTTTCCTACTTACGGTTCATAGGGCTGCCATAGACTTCCACCGGGAAGAATAATAATAATAAATATAGCTGCAAGCAGCAATGCAGGGGCCAAGCCCGGAAGCAGCAGCAACTCCGACATTTGGAAAAAAAAAAACTGTTGGGTCAGTAGTACAAGTGAAAATAACCTCAAAATTAAGATTTTTTTAATATATAAATTTGCTGCATGTTATATTTTTGGAAGTCCTTTCTCAGACAGACACCATGTCTAGAACTGAAACAACTTTTCCACCACTTAAGGCCACAGTACCTCTTGCGGTCTGGGCATGTGCCACACAGGATTCGAACCCACGACCGCAATGGTTCGGGATTCGTGACACGTGGTTTAGCAGCTTGCGCCACACAGAAGACGCAAATAACTGAGCTGCAGAGGAGATCCTTCAGTATAAGAATAAGCACACAAAATCATGTTAACGCAATTAGCATGCTAAGCTAGCTCAATGCTAACGTAGCTAATGGTTATCCTGATAGCTGAAGAGCCGCATTCAAAAGAATTGCACCTGGTTAGCATGCTAAACAATTATTATGCTAAGCTAACTAGCATAAGTCAAAAAACACAGGCTAGGTCAACTTTGGAGGCAAATATCTCTCAAACGATAGCGAATATCAAAAATCTGTTCAGTCATTTCTGTGCGGCTCGGTCCAAAGATTATCTGACAAAATTTTAAACAAATTCGAGCAAGATTTGCAGGAGGAGTAGCGAAAAAATGGTTTTTCATTTGCTCCAATATGGCGGACAGTCACATTGTTGGAAAATGAAAAATGAGACATCGGTGGAATCGTTATAAGCCAAGGAACATATTGATATGAAGAAATTACATTTTGAACAATATTTGCAAAAGTTATAAGCATCTTTACAAAAAACCTTATAACTTGGGAACACTAGGTGGCGCTGTGATAAAACTTCTCATGTACCTTCAGGGCATGCTAATGATGATCCATGCGCAATTTGGTCAAGAAATTTCAAAGAGGTTTAAAGATATTGCAAATTATGACAAAATTCAAAATGGCGGACACGAGGTATAGCCCATCATGGCAAAATCGATATCCACGGATTCGGCATGATCCAAAGAATCCATAGATACCACATTTATGATTTTCTGAAAAACTGTTCAAAAGTTATTGGCCAAAATAGCAATTTTTCATATCTCATGACCCGTAGGTGGCGCTATTCCCAACTTTGGTATGGATCCTCAGAACATGCTTCCGATGAAGTGTACCAATTTTCGTTTCGATTGATTCAATTTTGGCCGAGATACAGCCTCTTAGGCAATTTTGGGTGGACCTCGTTAAGTTTGCGACACCATAACTTTTGAACAAAGATGAATAAAAAAAATCTGTTCAGTCATTTCTGTGCGGCTCAGTCCGAAGATCATTTGAGCAAATTTTGGACAGAATTGGACAAAATTTGAAGGAGGAGTAGGGAAAAAACTGAATACTGTACATTTCAAAATGGCCTCTACTGTAATGGGCGGGTCTTAATGTAAGGTATTGGTTGTGATCAGCATGATGAGAGGAATCAGGTGTACTAAGTTTCATGTCTCTAGAGCAAAGGGTTCAAAAGTTATAACCATTTCAATGTTGAATTTTTGAACTGGTGGTGGCGCTATAGAGTTGGTCCTAGAGGGTCAAAAATTGGACCAATTACTAATAATTACCATCACTACAAGTGTGCCAAATTTCATCATTTTCCTACTTACGGTTCATAGGGCTGCCATAGACTTCCATTGGCGGAAGACTGAGCAAATTGTTATTTTGACAATAACAATTGCTATTAAAGCTGCAAGCAGCCTTTGCGGGGCCAAGCCCTGAAAGGGACCACAAGCAGAACAAGTACAACAAGCACATGTTCTTTCTCAGACAGACACCATGTGTAGAACTGAAACGACTTTTCCACCACTTAAGGCCACAGTACCTCTTGCGGTCTGGGCATGTGCCACACGGGATTCGAACCCACGACCGCAATGGTTCGGGATTCGTGACACGTGGTTTAGCAGCTTGCGCCACTCATAGGATATAAATTACAAAACTGCAGAGGAGAGGCTTCAGTATAAGAATAAACGCACAAAATTATGTTAACGTGATTAGCATGCTAAGCTAGCTCAATGCTAATATAGCTTATGGTCATCCTGTTAGCTGAAGAGCCCCATTAAAAAGAATGGCACCTGGTTAGCATGCTGAACAATTATTATGCTAAGCTAACTAGCATAAGGCAACAAACACAGGCTAGGTCAATTTTGGAGACGAATATCTCAAAAACGGTAACGAATATCAAAAATCTGTTCAGTCATTTCTGTGCGGCTGGGTCAAAGATCATCTGACCAAATTTTGGAAAAATTTGAGCAAGATCTGAAGGAGGAGTAGCGAAAAAATGGTTTTTCATTTGCTCCAATATGGCGGACAGTCACTTTGTTGGAAAATGAAAAATGAGACATCGTTAGAATCGGTATAAGCCAAGGAACATATTGATATAAAGAAATTAAATTTTGAACTATATTTGCAAAAGTTATAAGCGTTTTTACAAAAAACCTTATAACTTTGTAACACTAGGTGGCGCTGTCATCAAACTTCTCATGTACCTTTGGGCCATACTAATGATGATCCATACCAAATTTGGTGAAGAAATTTTAAAAAGTTTTAAAGATATTGCAAATTATGACAAAATTCAAAATGGCGGACACGAGGTACATCCCATCATGGCAAAATTGATATCCACGGATTCGGCATGATCCAAGGAATCCATAGATACCACATTTATGATTTTCTGAAAAACTGTTCAAAAGTTATTGGCCAAAATAGCAATTTTGCATATCTCATGACCCCTAGGTGGCGCTATTCCCAACTTTGGTATGACACCTCAGAACATGCTTCTGATAAAGTGTATCGATTTCTGTTTCGATTGATCAAACTTTGGCCGAGATACAGCCTCTTAGCCAATTTGGGTGGACCTCACTAAGTTTGCGACACCATAACTTTTGAAGAAAGACAACTAAAAAAAATCTGTTCAGTCATTTCTGTGCGGCTAAGTCTAAATATCATTTGACCAAATATTGGACAAAATTGAACAAATTTTGAAGG